GTGTGGTAGAAGATGATAACATGTGCACAGATTTCTGTTATTTGTTCATGTAGAGCAGCTGAGGGCAGTTTGGACGAGTATTGGCTACTGTCTATCATTGATCAGTTGAGGCAGAAGCGGATGGTGGCCCTCACCCAGTAGGTGGCTGCAGGAGGTGCAGATGTCACTGGGTTGTTTGGGAATGGTTGCCACTAGTTTGGTTGTCCATGCAGTCCTTGGCAAGGGGATTGAATTCCCAGGTTGCTGCCCGGGTCAGAAGGTTGTTTGCACATACTCAAAATAGCATGCCATTAGGCCAATCATCAGTCCACAGCTCTGTTTGTCTCCTTATTCATTTTTTGCATTCACTTTCTTCTACTATTCAGTATTCAAGACACTTCTCTATCCTTTCTTTCAAAGCTCAGAGTTTCAGTATTATCTTCTGATTCTGTTTCAATTGGTTTCTCATTTGTTGTAGAGGGTCTGTATAACTTGTCTGCCTATTCCACATCTTGCTGGAATCCTGTTTCCTTGAATCTTTGATTTTCTTCACTCTTCTTTGCCTCAGACTACAAAAGACCAATAGTTGCATCTTAGATGGCTACTTGCAAGCTTTTAAGATCTCAGTCACTGCTCACTGAAGTATGATTTAGAACATAGTGGACTATGTTATGCCAGTTGACCTAGTTGCCCCCCAAGACCATGGTCCTGAGTCCCCAACCCCAGTGAGTCATTCCCTCAAAGATGTAGAGTTATGGCTAAGAAGTTTTCACAACTTTGCCTCCTGTATGCTCTACAATATCCTTGAATAAATTTACAGTCCACAGGAATACAAATGTAGAAATATTCTCTTCCCAACCTATGTATGCCTGTGGGTACTCCTATTTGCCTTTCTACAACTGTTAAGCTTGCAGATCTACTTATATGTCTACTCGATGTTGTTTGTTACTACTACTATTGCAGTATTGTGTGTATAATAGTATTTATCTTTGTTGTCTTCTACTCTTGTGTGCCCCCCAGTGATTTACTTTGCCATTGGTCATGTTGTGCTGCCCTGCCACTTACTTACCCTCGTTAACAAGTGTCTACACTCTAGTTAGTAATTTACTCTCCATTCTCCTCCCATCCCTGGTAACCATCAAAGAATATTTTTTTTCTGTGTGTAAACCTTTTTAAAATAATGGTCTCATACAATATTTATCCTTTTGTTACTGATTTATTTCACTCAGCATAATATCTACTAGGGTATGTGTTTTGGTTACTTCATGCTGCTCTAACAGAAAATACCACAAATTGGTGGCTTTAACAAACAGGGATTTATTCTCTTACTGTTTAGGAGGCTAGAAGTCCAATTTCAAAGGGCCAGCTCTAGAGGCTCAGTGAAAGTGCCTCAACCTTGGGCTTCAGTTCTTCCTCTAGCTCCTGGCCCACTGGAACTGGAGGCATCTCTTCACTCAGACAGCTGCTGACTGCTGAGGCTGACAGACCCAAGGTCGACAAGTAAGATGGCAGAGTCCCAAAATTATCAAACCACACAGCAGGCCACTAATTCAAGCCCATTAACAGTCCCCAGATTGGCAGACAATATGGCAGGATGCTGAATGACAACTCAGCTACATGCAGGAGTCAAGCATGCCAAAAAGCTGCTGAAATCTTTCTCAAAACTTATCCTTATATACTGGAAGCAAACCACATCCCTAAGGCAGCTATTTACCTGCTCCAGTAGATTACACCATGGAGTTGATAACCAATCTCATCATGGGGAATAACTACATCCAGCTGCCCAGTCACTCAAAATCAGGCCCAGCAAAGTTAACACATAACCTTAATTACCACAGTATGTCTTGGAGTTAGTGATCCCAGGTCAATTTTCATTTTACACTTGAACCTTTTCAAACAATGAAACAAAAAAAGTAAAAGGGTATCACAATTTTCAATACGGAGATTTTTAAAGTCTTCTGTTGTTCCAGGATGTTTTCCTGTATTATGTTTTATGTATTAATTTATGTTTTGTTTCTTTTTTTTTAGGGACTTCCTTTATATATATGTTAGATATTCTTTGACTTTTTATACAACAAGTTCCTCTCTTATCTTTTTTAAATTCTTTTATTTTCATCCTCTTGTCTGTTTCCTTTCCATTCCTTAGTGCCCTTTATTAAATGTTCAGTAGGATCTAGTCTTCCTTGGGTATCTTGTAATTTAGTCTTTGGTTCTAAAATTATTTGTTTCCTTTAGTTTATTTTCTGATTTTTATCAGGTCTCATTTCATATCTTCCTGTTTTTGTCTATTTGTGGCTTGAGTATTTGTGTTTCTTGATATTTTTTTAAAAATGTCTGCAGATACTAACTTAAGAATATTTAATTCAGGTTGGAGTGTTGTAAGGTGGTTTTCTTTTGTGTCATTGTTTTAGAAGAGAATTTTCATCCATTGAATTGTTCTCATTATCATTTTCTGTTTTATTTTTGCATAGATTTGGTCTGTTTTTTTCTTTTTTTTCCTTTTTCCTTACTTTTAATTCACTTCAACAAGCAGTGACAGTTGTATGTGGATAGAAGTGAAGATATTGAGCAGTAAAGTAATTTTCTTACTTCAATAGCACTCTCTTCTGTTGGTATAGTGAAATGCAGTTTTTCTTTTGTTTCTTTCTCTTTTTTTAAAAATTAATGGCACCTTTTTTGAGGGCAAACAGGTTGACATACATTCTGATTTTGTGATTCCCTTTTGTTTCTCTAGGACCCTTATTTTTTCCCCCTTTGTTTTGGTTACCTAGTACGACTCTGACAAGAATATACCACAAATAGGATGGCCTTAACAAACAAGAGTTTATTCTCTTACAGTGGAGGTTTTAAGTCTGAGTTCAGTGTGCCAGGCTCTAGGGGCTGGGTGAAAGCCCCTCACCCTTGGGCTTCAGCTCTGCCTCCTTCTTCTGGCCCACTGAATCTGGAGGCTTTTCTTCATTCAGCTGCTGGCTGCTGAGGCTAACAAGCCCAAGGTTGACAAGTAAAAAGGCACAGTCCAGATGTTACCGAACCACACTGCAGGCCATTAATTCAAGTCCACTGAAAGTCCCAAGATCAGCAGAGCATGGCAGGCTGCTGAACGACGACTCAGCTACATGTGGGATTCAAGCATGCCGTAAGCTAGAGACCATTCCCCAAGGCTTCTCCTTATATATAGGAAGCAGACCATATCCCTAAGGCAGCTACTCAGCTGTTCACAGTAGATTCCACCATGGAGTTGATTACCAGTCTCATCATGGGGAATACTACATCCAGCTGCCCAGCCACTCAACTAGGCCCAGCCAAGTTGACACACAAACTTAACCACCACACTGTCTTCTCTCTTTTCCTTCACTATCAAGTGCTAAAGAGGTACTTTCTTCCAGCGTATCCCTTTTTCTCCCCAGAAGTGGTACCTTCTTGAACCTACCTGCTCAGGTCTTGAACAGTTTCAAGTCACTATCTTTTGATTTCCTAATAGCTCATGTTTGATTTCCCAGATCTTAGATCTCTTTTCAGTATTTTCATATTCAAGTGGGGCTTTCTCTCTTGGGGGCACCACACTCTTGCCTCTTTCTCACTACTGGCATAGGCTTTTCAAGTGAGTCTGTTAGATTTGTGTATTTTTCCACTATCAAGTCATGTGAAGTTTTTGTGAAACTTCAAAATTTGTTCCTGGATTTGCTGAAGTCATGGTTTATGGGTGATTTTTGTTGTTTATTTATTAATCTGTATGGCTTTTGGGAGGGTGCATGGAGAAATTTAGATTTAGGCAACTTCCATTATCTCTGAAAACCCAGAAGTTGTTATCTTCATATTTGAAGTATATTTTTGTTGGGTATAGAATTTTGTATTGACAAGACCATGGCCCAAGGATAAAAGCAGTCACAGAAGCCAGCTCATCTCTCCACGGTTCTTTCCTCTTTGGAGTCTTAGCTCTTCTAATTCTCCCTACCCTAACAGTTGTACACTGAATTTTCTGTTGTACACTTACTGTTCTGTTGGAATTGTCATCAGGAATTTGATCCTACCCTGATGCCTGCTAGTTATCGTTTTGTTTGTTTGTAAGAGCTCAGGCTTCTGAACTTTATCCATAAGATAATGATTTATTTTTATACCTTTTACTAAAATCTATTTATTATGTTTGGCCCCTAAGACCACCTCTGGATTTGATGGTTCACTAGGAGGACTCACAGGACTGGCATAAAATCGTACTCTTGGCTAACATTTGTTACACCAGAAGGCTGCAAAGAAAAATCAGCAAGGGGAAAAAGACTCATGGGGTGAAGTCCACAGGAAATTAAGTGCAAGCTTCCAAGAGTGCTATACCAGGGGAGTTACACAAAGACATGCTTAATTCCTCCATGAAAGAGTTGTGACAACATGTGTGAAATGTTATCTACCAGGAAAGCTTATTAATGTCTAGGGTTTATACTAGAGATTAGTCACATAGGCACTCTCTGCCAAGCACTCACCAACATTCTAGACTCCCAGAAGGAAAGCAGGTGTTCAACATAAACCATATTGTTTGTATAAATAATCTAGCACAGTGAGTCACTCTTATCAGTTAGGGTGATTAGAAGCTTCCCAAAAATCCAAGTTCCCAGAAGGCAGCCAAGGCCAACCTGGCAAGCGGGCCTTATCAAGGATGCAGTTTAGACCTGTTAACTCTTTTCTGAACATCTACCTAGCCATGCATTTATTCAACCAACTAGGAAGTATTTTTAGGGATTTAAAATAGGCCAGCAATGGCATATCTAATATAATCAGTTTTCTTCTCAGTAAAACTCTAGCAGATAATTTGTAGTGAAGAAAACAAATAAAGAAAAATGATTTGTCTTTAACATTCTTGGGAAATGAGACCTAATAAGGAACATAGTGAAATTGCTCTCAATCATAGGCTTAAGTTTTTAATTTTTTAAAACATTTTAAATTGAAATAATGAAAATGCTAATTCTTCTTTTTAATTGATAGAGAAAATGACTGTGTAAAGGAATTATATATTCACTCTTTTCTTTTAGCCTAAGAAAGCTGTCAAGGTAAAACCTCGTCCACCTATAGCTCCTCGACCTTCTAGTGGTTCCATGGTAGCAGCTCGCCATAGATGGTTGAGGGTTCTCCCTCACATTGGGCAGTCTTGCTTACGTTCTCCTGGAAATGCATATCTACCTGAAACTCCCAAGAATGTACTTTCAAGTTGGACAGTTCTGCCCGTTGCTGATAGAGCCATATCATCTATCACTAGTGATGTTCTTAAGGAAGATGATAACAGGGAAAGTAATACACTTTCTCATTCCAGTAGTAGCAACAAACTATCGCCTCAGACATCTCATATGGAGTTAAAAAATGACAAAGAGCTTCCTGATTCTGTTCTCCATCTTGGGACATCTCTGCTTAGGCAAACAGAACATTTTTCAGGAAGTTTGCCATCTGATAATGAGGATGACACTGTCTTATTTCCAACTACAGAACAGTGTGTTACTGAAGAATCCCTTCCACTTAAAGTGGGTTCATTTACTTCATTAACTGGAAGAAGCACTGATGAACAGAGCAGTGGCTTAGAAGGCATGCAGAAGGTAAAGCCAGAGTTCCTACTCACTAATGGTGATAAAGGGCTAAAAGCTACAGAAGAGCACCTTAAACACATTGCAAGAGTCTTGACTGGCGAATCAGTAGAGACTACAGTTCTTAACCACCGTGAATTAAGTCCTCACAAGAATAGACTCTTATCACCTCTTCAAGGTTCTGCACCAATATCACTACATAATTCTTTGGTGAAACAACAGAGACAGTCCAAATGTTTTGAGTCTGGGAACCTCCGATCTTCTGCTTCACAAAATGTGCTCCGTTCATTGGATGTTCGGAATATAACTGATTCGTCTTTCTCTAGGACTGCTCGCTTTCGAGGTGTTAAAGTTGATTCACCTGGGAAAAGATCTGATATTATTTCTAAAGTTGAGGCTCGGGATATCACAGAGATGGCTAACAAAGCTTCCAAAGAGCCTATTGGTTGTGTAAATAATATAGGTTTTCTTGCTTCGCTGGCCCGGAGCTCAAGCAGAGATGGTTTACCAAGCGCATGTGGGGCAGGCAGGCTTCGGGCTTCTGGAATTGGGCTATCTACAAACCTCCAGCATTTTCAGGAAGAAAGCCTTAGGAAAAGCTCTCCCCATTTAGAGCCTACAGATTTTTTTCTAGTAAGTATTTGTGTTTCAGCATATTTCTCTAATTACCTAATTCTCTTACACTGATGCAACATATTTAACTATTTTGTTATATAAATAAGAAGGCCTGGGGTTGAAATTTTTTTCATAAGTTTATCTTGAAATGTTTATCTAGTGTGTAGAAAAGCCTTTTTTAACAGTTTAATTTTAAATAATATTTTAGTCCTAAATTGAAAACTGTAATTTTGAAATATTTTCATTAAATGATTTATCATTAATTTTTAAATGCTAAAGATTTTTATTAATATTTTCTCAAAAAACACTTTTACTTGAGCTATCAAATTTTACTTTTAAAGATGAATAAGTACAATATTGCTGGGTGTCAAAATCAGGTTCCAAGTTAATTGAATTAAACAAATTAGATTAAATAATTTTAAATGAAAGCCTGACTGCATTTTGGTAATAACATATACGTATTTCTTGTTTGGTGATTTCTTTTTCTATTCTCCATTGACTCACCTCTTCAGATGTTTTGTGTTTTAATTGTAGTCAGTCCGTGGTTTTGGAATAAGTGGAAATAATGCAGTAGCAGGAAAAAGAGTAGGTAAGCAAAAGACACTTTTGAAAACAATGTAGTCTAATCAAATCATCATGCATACTATTGAATTTTCGAAGAGGAATTGGAAGAAATTCTTTGTGGTATGTACAGAATAAATATTCTCTGTAAACGTTCTTCCATTTAAGCAAATTATTGTGAGAGCTAAACATAGACTATATATATATATATAAACAAAAATAGAAACTGGGGTCTCTGTTTCCTAGAAGTATAACAAAACCAAACTCATTACCATCAAGTCTGTTCCAACTCATACCAACACCCATTAGGTTTCCAAGTCTGTGTAAATCTTTATGGAAGCAGACTGCCTCATCTTCTGCAGAGTGGCTGGTGGGTTCAAACTATCAACCCTTTGGTTAGCAGCCAATGCCTTAGCCACTACACCACCAGAGCTCCTTAGAAGTGGTATAGCCTGTATGAAAATATATGAAAAATTAACATGTAGTTCCCAACCCCAGTCACAGGCTATTGAGCCATGATGGGGTATTGGATGAATTTTGAGGAATTGCCTTAGAAAGTTAAATTTCTTAACATCATAGCCTAATGACAGGGATGGTGAAAAGAAGCTCCTTTTGATGAACTGATTATTTCTGGGTAAGAGAAAGAACCAGCCCTTTGGAATGCGCAGTAGCAGAAATAAGTATAACTTTAGTACTTCATTCTATCAGTAATGACACCTTAAAGGTGCACCAAAAAGAAAAACAAAAACCTCATACTCGCTGCTTTTGAGTCAATTTGACTTATAGCCACCCCTCCTTGGTTTTCCAAGGCGGTATCTCTACAGAAGTAGATTGCCCAATCTTCCTTCTGAGGAGTTCCTCGTGGGTTTGAACCACCAGCCTTCTGGTTAGCAGTCAAATGCCTAGGTACTACACCACCAGAGCGCCAGTAGTCATTATTCCCAAGGCTGAAGGAATCATTGATATCATCTTCTTTTGATTTTTAATTACCCAAATCAGTAATGAGAAACTCATTTCCAAAGAGGTGACAACTTTGTAGCCCAAGGTTATAAACCCCAAGAAAACCCCACTGCTGTTGAGTTGATTCCGACTCATAGTGACCGCCATTGGGTTTCTGAGGCAGTAAATCTTTCCGAAAGTAGATTGCCCAGTCTTGCTTCTGTGGAGTGGCTGGTGGGTTTGAACCAGCAACCTTCTGGTTAGCAGTCAGATGCCTTAGGCACTGTGCTACCAGAGTTCTTTAAGGTTATAAAAGATACTTTTATATATTGTAGTTTTCAGTTTTTTAGAAATAACTTACTTGTTTTCCATTCCTGTGTAAGGCTGCAAGGTTATATAAAAAGTCTTAACTATATCTCCTTTTTTTTTTTTAACCTTGTGGTTTGAGTGAAAGTTTACCAAGCAAATTAGTTTTCTATTCCACATTCTTCCCACTTCCTGCCTGGGCTCCCCATTTCCATTCCTTCTTTCCTGCCCCTTCCAGCCTTCTTCTGATCATTGTTGTTGTTTTTGGCAAATGCTGCTCTTTTGGTCTCATGTGGATGATTATATGTAGGAGTACGTTCCTCCCTGGAGATAATACTTACCCTATAAACCTGTCTGCTGTTTGGCTGGTTTGGGTTCAGTTCCAGACTTGAAGAGTGTATATGGGCCACAGTGTTAGGGGTTCCACTAATCTCTGTCAGACCATGAGTTTGGTTTGTTGTTTTTTCTTTTTTTAAATGATTTTGAATTTTTTCTACATGTTTTCCTTCTTCTCTGTCTAAGACCTTCTATTATAATCTACTTTTAATGTCATAGTTATAATTTTTTGGTGGCATAGACTCAATTCTCCCCCATCATAATTCATACGTAAGCTTCTTGGAAGTTTGCATTTACTTGTCTTTATTCTCTTAGCTCTAATTCAGGCTTCACTGCTTTCTTTACTTCTGTTCTTACTACTGAAATTACCTTTACTGAGGTCACCAAAGATCTCCATGTTTTTAAATCCAGTGGCTGTTTCTGTATTCTTATCTTACTTGATTGTTGTGGCCCTGCTGGCGATAGTTTTGGGTTTGTGTGTTCGTTTCACTTTAAAAATTCTAGGCTATCAAATCATTGCAGATCTTTGGTTTGGTTTGGTTTTGGTTTTGGTCTTGGTCTTTTAACTCAAAGTTTTATTTTCATTTTACCAGCAGACTGCATTTTGGTTGATTTAATTTAGGCACAAGGCATTAGCTGCCACCTGCAGTGAGGATTACCCAAACAGTAAAATTTCCTGCCATTTCTTCTTACAGTAATAACTATATCTATTTTTTTTTCTTGTTTCTGAATTATCTAGAAGAGCTTGTCCTCCTTGCTGTAAGTTTAATTTAATTGACTTACTAAGTTCTTTCTCAGGTCTTCTTGATTTTTTTCCACTGCAAGGTCTCCCTTGGTAACATTACCCATTCTTACCAATTCACAATAGATTTAGCAATCATTTTTATATATACGACTACCAAGCTTGCATTTTGAACATGAATAATCTATTACTCTTTTGGTTGCCTTTTTGTTGGGTGAGTTTATAGATCAGTATTAGAGTAGGAAATATCTCACAAGTGAGTTAATCCAAAAGTCTTTTGCCTGTTTTTTGTTTTGTTTTGTTTTAATTTTTATTGTGATTTGGGTGAAAGTTTACAGAGCAAATTCACTTTCCATACAGCAGCTCACATATTCTTTGTCTCATGACATTGTCTGCAATTTCCCATAATGCAACCGCTCCCCTCTCACTCTTCCGCATAGTTACGTCTTCCCTGTGTCCTTCCCTCCCATGCACTCCTGCTCCCTGAGCTGTCTCCCTGTGCATACACAGCCTTTCTAGTCTCCCATGATTGATCTCTCTAAGGAGTGTATCTACCTAATGTAAATGTTTAGCTCAGATGCCTGTCTTTTGTTTGGCTGGAAGCCACAGGAGTGGGTTCAGTTCTAGACCTGAAGGGGAGCTAGGGGCCATAGTCAAAGTGGTTCCATCATGTTCTATCAGACCAGCAAACCTGGTCCCTCCCACTTTTTCTTTTAATGATTTTGAGTACTGTTCCACATTGTTCTCCCATTCTATCCAGGATATCCTACATAAATCCTCCTCCGAGTGGTTGACAGTGGTAGCCAGGCACAATCTAGTTCTTCTGGTCTCAATAGTTGTATAGGCTGGGAATCACATGGTGTACCAGTCACTTGAACTAATTGTCTCCACGCATCCTTGATTTTCTTCCTTCTTTGCTCTTCCTTCCATCATTGCATCTAGATGGTTGCTTACAAGCTTTTAAGATCCCATTCACTACTCACCAAAGAAGGATGTGGATCAGTGTTTTAATGTAGTATGTTATGCCAGTTGAGTTCAATATCCCCTGCAGCCATGATCCCAAGCCACAGTTGTAACTACTTGCTGCCTCTGGGTAGCTGGCTGTGGCCAAGAAGTGACTACAACCTTGTCCCTTATCAGCTCTACTGTACCTGGGAATTCTTACATGACATACAAATACACTTGTAGAGACATTGTGGGCCAACTCCATACGTGGTCTTGGGTACACTCCTCTCTGCATGTTGTTGTTGTTATGTGCCGTCGAGTCGACCCCCGACTCAGAGCGACCCCTCCTTGGGTTTCCGAGGCAGTATCACTACGGAAGTAGGATTGCCCAACCTTCCTTCCGAGGAGTGGCTGGTGGGTTT